TCTTAAGCTTCAGGAACAGCCGGCCAAGAAGTTTCCACGGTTTTTTTCGTTTTAATTTTTTTTTTTTTCAAGAGTGGGATCTTTTGGTAAAGGATTCAGTTAATGATGGCTGTAGGCTACCCAATTTTAATCGTTTCGAAACAATTGAAACGATTAGGAGTGTGTTGACTGAAACTCAACTTGGAATTTTGAAAAAATCATGCTTTGGAAAGTTTTTTGAATTACCATATTATATTATTCAGTCACAACTTGTGCATATGGTTCTTCTTAGACAAGTTTTTCACAAAAATTCTGAAGAAATATGGGTTGATTTCTGTGGAAAAATAATGCGTTTTGGAATCGGGGAGTTTTCTGTTATTACTGGTCTCTTAAGTGTGTTGGATCTGCTCATAAATTAATGTATGAGGGTACTGATGACGGTTTGTTCAAAAAGTTTTTTTGCATCTGGTGGTCGTTTCACTCGGGAAGCTATTCGTATGAAATTTGTATCTCGGTGTTGGTCGAATGACAATGATGCTGTCAAACTTGCTATCCTCCATTTTCTTGCAAATTATTTGATGGGTAATGAGCCTTCAGTAGGTTTTGATCAGAACTATCTTGCTATCATTGATAGCGATGATTGTAATGATTATCCTTGGGGTAAAGAGATCTCTGATTTCTTTATTTCGCATTTTTTGGGAAGATTTCTGCCACTAAGACTTCAGTATATAATAAATGTCGTGGTTTAATAGTTGTTCTTCAATGGTGGTTTTATGAAATTTGTAAAAATGCTTCGGGCCTTATTTGTATTAAAGTTGATAATTCGAATTCCACAATACCTCGTATGCTGAAGTGGAAGGCTGAAAAATCAGTTGACAAAGACTTCCTAGTTCGAAAGTTTAGTTTTTTTCGTCCTGACCAGGTTTATATATCTTTTTTTTTTTTCATAGTTTACATATTTGTTCTTCTTATATGTTTTATATTTCTAATGCTGTTTGGTTTTTTTGGTTTGTATAGTTCTCTAATGTTGTACCAACTGAGGAAGAGATTGAAAGTTTGCATCTCCAGAATTTGTTTGTTGAGAAAAATGAATTTGTTCGTCGTGAACCTATAGGGAGGAATGACAGATTTGTTCCATCTACATCGAGCATTTATGACGAGCAATTACGTAATCTTACCTCTAGTCGATGCAACTATTGGATGATTGTAAAGGCCTGAAGCTGTTATTTCACAGTTTTTCTGTAAAAGTCTTTGAAGAGTTTAAAGTGGTTCACTCTACTTTAAAGGTTAAATATAGGCATTTATTTATTTTATTTATTTTTTCGAATTTTACACTTTTCTGATTCTGACATTTTTGTTATCTTGTGGTTATTATTATTATTTTTCTGTCTTTTATTTTTATTTATCTTATGTTTTTTCTTCTTCTTTAAGGAACTGCATGATATGATGGATAGTAATGTGAACGTCGAGAATATTCATGGCAAGGATGTTCATCATGATAGATTCACTATGCTACCATCTGATAAATTTATTAATAAATCTGATGTTCATATTGGTGATCATGATGTGTCTCAGCATAATCAGGTCAATGGTTTTTTATTCGTGCTTTTTATTTTTTTCTCATGTTCATCATTGCTTATAACTTGTATGCATATATCTGATGCATATTCTTTTCTCTTAATTGTCCTTCACTTTACTGGATGCATAAACCTTAGGAATATGATCCTAAATGTCCGCAGACTGGTTCAGAGGTTCAATTTTCCAAAAACAATTTTGTTGACGTTGATGATGTTCATAAGGCAAGTTTTTTTTAATTTTGTTTATCAGGTTGGAAAATTTGATTCTAATGGTGATGAAGTTAGTACTTTTCAATCTCCAGAAGTTGTAGTTCAAGATTCAGACACGGAAGAGGTTGTTTTTTTCGACAATGTTCATTGATTCTATGTTTATTTTATGTTAACCTACTTTAATTTGTTAGTTTAAAACTTTTTTTTTCCTAATCATTTATTTTTTTAAACATTAATGTAAATTATTGACAATGTACTCAGGCTGCTGATCATGTTGATAATTTTCAACCTAATCTTGATGATACTGCTAATTTTGATAAGGCAAGTTACAATTTATATATTTTCTATGTTCTTAATCATTACTAGTGCGTTTTTATTAATCAACAATAATATTTGTTTTTTCATGTTTATAGCCTTTCTGTCAGAATTTAAATGGTATTCAACCTGCTGATTGTGAAGTTAAGGATTCATATGTGAAGGATGCTCATTTAGCCAACAAGGTCAGTTTTATTCATGTTTAATTTTATTGTTGTGAACATCAGTTTAATCATTCTTTCTATTTTATGTTTAATTATTTTGTATTTTGTTATTACTATTTTGTGTTTAATCCTTAAACCTTCAATATAAAAACTTTAGTAATAGATTTTTCTTTTTGTCCTCAGGGTGTTGACTATGTTGAGAATTCTGAAATAAGTGGTGATGAAGTGCTAAATGTTGATCAGGCCAGTTTCAAATTATCTGTGTTATATGTTTGTCATAATATTATTTTTTTAAATCAATATTACGATTTTTTTTTTCAATTCTATAACATGTATATCAGAGTGTAGATCTTATTCAAAATTTAGAAGTTGAACTTCATGATTTAGCTGCCACGGATGTTGATTTTGATCACAAGGTCAGTTTCATTTATGTTTACTTTATGGTATTTTTTCTTTTTAAATCCTTTTTGTTTGTTTTTTTGTGTATTTATTTGAAAAGCAATTTTCATCTAATTTTTTTTGAAATCAATTCAATAGATTATTTCTCAATCTAATCTTGAGGATGATCAACTTCAATTGGTTAGTTTGATTCTTTCTTGTTTTTTTATTTTATTTTTGTTTTTTACCATTTATTAGTTTTTATTTTTGTTTTTCTATAGGATTTTTTCTTTCCAAATTATATGTTAACATTTTTTTTATAGGGTATTGAATGTCATTTGAATAAGTCTGGTGATCCAAAATGTTGTTCTCCAATTGTAAATGGAGTTCAATTATCTGCGAAACTTGGCATTTCATTCATCGCCTGTTGTTGTTGAGAGTGTTACTACTTCAGACCTTATTTTCCATCAAATGATGAGGAATACGTATGTTTAGTATGTTTCATCGAAAGACCGTCGCCTTGCTTTTCATCCACACAATGATATTGTTGATTATATGTCTGGTTATAAAATTATTTGTGGGAGGAATTGGACATATGTTGATCATGTGTTAATGCCTATTCATACTGAGATTGATGGGGTGGGACATTGGATTCTCGGTAGACTTTCTATTAAAGAAATGATCCTTTTTATTTACATTGATGCTTTTATCTGGAAGGATGTGGAGTGCTATTCTGTTTTGCTTCCTTGCTTTCTTTATTTGGTTGGTATTCTTGACAAAAGGATGGAATTGTTTACTGGTGATGGTGCTTATGTGGGTAAACAACTTACGGATCCGCTTGATGTTGTTTTTGTTGATAGCCTTCCTGCTCAGGAAGACGGGTAATTGCTTTCTTCATCATTTATATTATTGGTTTATAATTATTTTTGTAAAATTTTGTGTATTTGTTATTTTTTAACTAATTCCACTTTTCNGAGTTTTATTTTTCAGTGATTGTGGTTTTTTTGTGGCTGCATTTGCTGAGTTTTTTTGTGAGGGGTTTGAAGATTCCAACTGAATGGGATGTGGAGTACATTCATAATCGTTATGCGTATTTTCTATATGAGCATGGATGCAAGAAGCTGGCAAATGGATATGAAAGTGAAGATGATTCTCCGGAAGTTATGCCCCCGGAATCTAGGAAGTCGGTTCATTATTCTTGGCTTCATTTGTAGTTTATAATCACTATTATGTTAGGAAGACTCTTGTTTTGTGTTGCTTTTTTTCCTATTTGGTTGTACTTGGTTTTTTTTGCCCTTCTTAACATCTATGATGTACTTGGTATTGACATCTTCTTGTCTGAAGCTTGAATATTGTAGGATATTTATGTTTTATTGTTTCTTGGTTATTTGAAAATTTTGGATTTTTGTTTTTTTAGAATGCTGTCAATGTTATAAATACGTTTATTTCACAAATGGTTCGATTTGAATTACATCTTTAAGTCGAGGCTCTTTTCACGAATTTGGATTTTCTCTTGTTTTTTTCTTTCAAATTTTACATCATCTCATTATTTAAATTAAAGGACCAATTTAATTTCGTTTACACAACACATTTTGAGGATTGTACTATATACATACTCTTAACTAATCAGACTAGAAAATCATGCACTACAATCAATTTGATATGAAGGTTACCAGAATAAGAGCTTCTGATCTTATCCTACTTATGGCTCTTTTCAATATTATTTCCTGCTAATATTGAAAATACGTTTCCTTCACAAATGGTTCAGTTTATATGTTAACTTATGTATACTACAAATACCATTCATATGTTTTTTAGGAATACAACATTGATGTTTTTGTGTCTTGTTAGTGTATTTTTTAATTTATTTATTTTTTTTTTCTATTACTTTTTNTGATAGGCAATACTCATAGCATGAATAAAAATATTCAAGATACAATTGAAGAGCTGACTAGCTCTTAATAAATCACCCATGGAGTACCACTACACCTAAAATACAACACAAAAGACTACAAAAAACACAACCCAAGAAGTCAAGGCAAATACAACCATTTGATCCCTTTACTTCCTAAACCAAGCATATGCAAAAAACTAACAATAATCAAAAGAGTACAACCTGATACCAGTAAATAGACCAATCTCATACCAATGCTTAGCAAGTGAAATACCAACTGTCTCAAGGACCTAAGTCTAAATGTGCTAACCATCAGCATTCCTACTGCAAAGTTGAACTGTTAGAGAATTCAACCCAATCTGCCATTGCAAGCCTGACCACCTCAGCTTCACTTCTCCACACTGTCTGAAATAGCCATAAACACCTAGTCTTATCATTGTTAATTTATGTTCAAATATTTTTTTTTTTCTACTCATCAGGAAAACTATGATATGTGTCTTTTAATTAAACTACATAAAAAAATCTTAATAATAACAAAAATCATATCATTCATAAAAAGCATGCATAATCCGGTAACAGTTTTAGTGTCCTGTTCGAAACCATGCTTTTCTGGAGACGTCGAACAATTTTTCACTTTTGCCTCTATTACTACTATTTCCCATGGCTATTTTAAATGTATACGATTTTGCTTCAAAACACGATGATGCGCGACAAATATGTTATTCACATCAAAATCTACTGGCAATACACATGTGTTGTATGTTGCCAATAATGTGCTGGTGTAGTAATAATGAGAACAATAATCCTCCGGCTCTTGACGCTTTCCTTTAATTACACTTATTGCATGTGCACATGGAAGTTCATCCATTTGAAACCGATTGCATGAACAGGTTTTCTCTTTTAGATTCACGATGAAAATTTGAGTTCCTTGTTTCACTTTGAATATTTCATCACTTGCTTCTTGCACCTATACATATTTTATAATTTAATAAAGTATATTATCATATAAACACCAAAAAAAAAAAAACATTTAATATAATGAAATTGTACTTACTGACAATCTCATGGATTCTCTATAATTTTCTTCGAGATTTTTTGTCCCAATCTTGTAAGCTTTGTGAAAGTGCACTCTGCTTCTTTCCTATTCTTCACATTCCATGCTTGTTGCATTTCATGTACGCTTTCCAACAGAACAGTTATTGGAAGATCTCGTGTAGCCCTCATGGTAGAATTTATTGTCTTCGCAGCATTTAAAGTCATTACTAGAAATCTGTTTGACTTACAGTGAATACGGGACCATTTTTCAAATCCAATCTTCTCCAAATATGCTACCACACGTTTGTTTGCTTTAAACATTGTCTCCATGTGATGATTAAAATCATCAATTGAGTAGGCATATGCTGCTCTAAAGAATGATCCTTTAACTGATTCTAGGTTCTCTTTGTACTTTGATATTATATTCCTAGACAAATGATATGCACAAAAACAATGTGCAGCCTCTGGAAGTACCTGAAAATTTAAGCATCAATGTTATTTTTATATTACTGGAAACATTTAAATATATCAAAATAATAATTAAAATATTATTTTTTTTGTTTCTTTAAAGTTGTTTTTTTGGGTTTCTTTAACCTGTTCTTTAGTTTATTCATCAAATCATTTATAAAATATTTTTTTTTTCTCAATACACATATATATAATCTCACCTTTGAAATAGCACGTCTGATGCTCTTATGTCTATCTGATACTATGCATAATCCATCTCATTTTGACAATGTAATTTTCAACAAGTCAAAGAACCAATGATATGCATTGTTATTCCTAGAATCAACAACTCCATATGCAAGTGGAAGTATGTGGCCGGCTGCATCCTGTGTGCTTGCTGTTATTAGTGTCCCTTCGTAAGTTGCTTTAAGGAATGCACCATCCACAATTATTATTGCTCGACAATGCTCCCATCCATTTATAGAAGCCTCCAATGATATGAACACATGTTCAAACCTCATCGCCTTGTCTGTCTTAAGCTTTACAACTGATCCCGGATTAGCATCACCTAGCTTAGTGAGATATTTTGGCAGCTTAAGATAAGATTTGAATGGATGTCCATAACCATTTTCTAATGCTTTTTGTCGTGCTCGCCAAGCTTTCTTGTACGGAATTGATACCCCGTACATATTCTTCATGTCTCGGATAATGTCGGCCGGGGTATAATCTGTTTTCAAGTTCATGAATTTGTCTTGAACAAATTTTTCAAATATATCAGCTGTGGCTTGACGCCGATCATTCATCCTCTTATCGAAGCTGCATATATGTTCGTCTGACACCTTTCGGATTTTAAAAGTTGGAGCACAACCAATTCTCGAAGCCTTTAATCTCCACGAACAATTATTGTCAATGCATCTTAGGAAATACCGTCTTTGGCAAGACTTCATTACCATGAATTGGAATTGATGCTTAACGGCATCCAAGCTTATGAACTTTTTAAGTTCATCTTTGTCTGAAAATGGTTGCCCGGATTCAAGCATTCCATCAAGTGATGCACTATTTTTCAAATCTGCTGCACTGTTATGCTTCTGTTCAATTCTCTTCATGCTTTCACTTGCTATTTCAACAAGAGTGTTTGAACATCTCTTTGCACACTGGACAAGTTCTTGGTTTCCATTTCTCTGTTTCTGCAAAGCAGCATCATCTATCATGGAGATTGGTTGTACCCTCAGTTGACGTTCTTCATACGTCTCAGTACAATCCATGCTTCTGATGGAAAGGCATTTTTTCGGCTCCGATGTTACAGTTTTGCGTAATCTGTTTCTTTCTTTTTCAGCTCTTTATAAAATAGCAGGCTCGTCTCGTTTCTTATCGTCATCGGCTTGTATCCTTCCCTTATTTGATACTTTATCACCATCCTTGCATTAGATGAATCTCTTTTTATCATTTTTTGCACAACTTCTTCTAAATCATCCAAAATTTCACTCTCTTTATGGAAGACACCACAAACTTCATATCCTTCATAACTGACTTCATTTATCCATTCCCTATTATATTGCACAATCAGAAGATCATTACTCATGTTTCTGCAAAAAATTTTCATAAACGCAATTAAATGGTTGCTTACATATTTTTATATAATTGATTTCATGTTTTTTCTATTAATTTCATATGAAAAAACTATTTTCTACTTACCTGTGAACTCATACGACAGGGCACCTTCTATGCACTTCAATTTTCTGCGTTTTTTATTTCACAATAATGCTATAAGGACATCCAGTTTTACAACTCAAATGACAACTGCATACGTGTAAAGTAAATCTTGACTTATTTAATGTACAAAATAAAAAAATAATCACTAAACCATCTTCAATTATAAGACTCACACAGGCCACAACGAAACAAAACCTAGCAGGAAGTAAGGAACCATCTTCAATTCCAATTCAGGGAGAAACATACCTAGCACGAGAGATAATCGGGTAAAATTGTTTATGTGCTTTCCCCGATTTCCAGATTTGATTTTTTATTTCGGTTTTTTGGGTGCAAACAACGTCAGCCACCTTCGTGGTCACCAACAGTGTCGCCGGCAAGGTCCTCTCCGGCAGGGGGTATAGGGAGTACAGGCTCGGGGACTACTCGAATTGGCTGCAGAACAGGGTCAACGACCACTGGGGCCGGGTTAGAAGCTATTTGGTTGACAGTAACATTTGTCAGAGGCTGCTTCAGGCTGGTTCGACCCCGGTGGACGATTTTTACCGAGAGCATCTATCTGCGCTTCAGGTATAGTTATTTTCTTATTTTTTCTTTGAAATATTCTTCTGGGTCGATGGATTTTTGTTAAATTGTTCATGGGTTCTTGAGTATTTGTTGATATCGTGAGGATTTGTGTTAAATTGTTCTTTGGTTCTTAAATATTTTTTGATATCTTGAGTTGTTTGAGCAGTGGTGTATAAGATTTTTTATGGTGTTCTGGGTGTTTGGTTCTAGATTTCACTTAATTTTATATGAATTCTTCATATACACTACATCAAGAAAAAGGAAAAAAAAGGATACTGTAGAGAATCAAATATTGAGAGGTTTGAGATGATGATTCTTGCTTTGATTATAAAGATTGAGATAAAACAGATATGTTATCAACAGTATGTGCAGTGTAGACAATGAAATCTATATTTTGGAAAATAGAAACTTTTGCTCCAGAATCTTTCTTTTTGCTTTATGTTGTGTTAGGTTGATAAAAAGTTGAGTGCCTTTAAATTGGTTTCTCCCATTATTAGCTTGGGAAAGTGGCTTTTCTGCATCTGACTATTCTGTAAAATTCTTCCTTCTTATTATCCACTGCCTGACATGATTATCTTGCAAAATGAATTTTTGAATATGGTCCATTTTTTTTCCTTGTAATTTTAAAGTTTGACCCCATCTTAAGAAGTGACAATTTGCTTAAACCATTGCTTGCTAGTAGTTCAACTTCAAATTGAAGTTCATTTTTCCTTTCTAAAATATGGTTCTAGTAAGTAAACTATTTATTTTCCCCTATAGCTTAGCACTTAACCATAGTTTTTTCACATTGAAATTTACCAGTCTGGATGCTGTAAGCCCTCGAATGATTGCAACTTCACGTACGTGAGCCCAACAAACTGGACACGGCCACAAACACCAGCTTCTAGCAACCCAGACTGTGCTCGGTGGAGCAATGAGCCGAGAGTGCTCTGCTATGGCTGCGACTCGTGCAAGGCTGGTCTTCTCGATAACATCAAGACCGACTGGAAGAGAGTTTCCGTTATAAACATCGTTTTCCTTGTGTTCTTAATCATTGTTTACTCGGTTGGGTGTTGTGCATTTAGGAACAACCGGGAGGACAACAGTGCCTGGAAACGTTATCCTTGAGGGGAATGGAAACCAATTTAGTAGATTTGTGTTTGTTCTCTGATGTATTATTGCAGATGTATTATTGCAGTTTGAAGTTCATGCCCAATGGTTATCTGAATAATGCAATGAAGGCTATTTGTGTTGGAATATATGGTTGAACTCATTTTTTATGCAAGAATGATATGATATTTTTCATTTCCAACTGTGCTTTGTGCAAAATGAAAGTGATTATCTTTGTCCATATAAAGTAAGCAACCTTGTGTAGTGTAACCCCTGAGCATAAAAATTCAAAAGGTTGTAAGATTCCTTCAATTAACAGAGATAAGAGAATCTTGAAACTAACCTTTTAATGTTACAAGATCTTACTCACACAAACTGGAATACTGATAAATTACTCCACACATTAAGTGCAGATAATCGATACACAAAAAATATGTTGTAAGGACAATAGGTCCCATAAAAACCTGCTCATTCCATGCAGCTCAAGCAGATATCACCCAAGGTGCTATACACTATTAACTCTCACATAATGTAAACCACATAATTCCATATTTATAAAATAAATAACAAACGTGTAAAAAAAAAAGATGCTAGTGGAATCAAACTGCACTCACAAACCAATTCAAAAAGCGTTCAAATCAATTCAAAACAAGTCCACAAGAACATTACTAGGGAAAAACGAAATTGAAATCAAAGTCACATGTCCACAAGAACATCATTGGGAGACGACATAAGTTTCAAGTACTGAAATCCAATAAAAATAAATAATCACACCAAATGACACACCAATTAGCAAAGCCAAAACTTCGTCCAGGATCAACCATTCTGCTAGTCTAGGTATGGATGTTGGTTAACCATTGACGACTTCGACGTTTTGTCCCCCTCACATGTTGCCAGCACATTAGTTCCCCAATTAGGAACAAAAGAGGGTATAAATAACTCCTGTGAATATGACATTGGAGCTAAGGTGGGAAGATTAGCCTGCACCATTGGTTGAACATATGTGGCACTTTCATGTGGTTTAGAGGATGCCATATTTTTTTGTTTTGACGAGACCTACATAGTCAAGATATAAGATTAATAAACTTAAATATATAAAATGATGATCTAACATAACCATATATAGATTACAATTTACCGTTAATTTCTTAGAAATCTTTTCGAGTGCCCCTTTTTGACGTAATTTTCAGGGAGCTCCTTCTCTTTTCACGTGATTTGGATCAGAAATTTTTGGTCCCAAAATTGTATCCACTCCTCCATTAACAGAATCTACCAAAATACTTTGGTCCAAATTAGATTTTCCTTCACTTCTTTGATCCATATTCATTAAATCCAAATCATTGGATAACAGATCCGATCCACTCCATAAGCTTACTTGCTCTCACATCATCATTCGCCACCTTGTCGGCCACCACTGCAAAAGCACGACACAAATTATCATATCGTAATTGATCAGGTGTCGAGATCCAACCATCATAGTTGATCTTCACCCTTTGGTATGATCTACACACATCTCTTCTCCACCTCCTCAATATATACATGTCAGGAACGGACGTCACATCATTGCGAATCAAAACTGTGATAGCATGTTTGCAAATTATCCCTCGAAACTCAAATAAATGACAACTACAAACAAAGTTTCCTGATTCCTTTTGAGTTTGAACAATGTAGAATTTTTTATATTTTTTTCCATTGCAAATAACATCCTCCTGAACTATGTATTTATGTCCCCGTAAGAATTTCTCACATCCATCCTCTTTGGATATAATCTCACAGTAAACCATACCTGTAAATTGAGATTGAAATTCCTTGAACTTATTGATGGTGTAAATGGCTTGAAATTGTTTTTCTAATTCATACAAAGTAGCACATGGAACCATCGCCGAATATGACTTACAGTCAGCCTGAATCTCCTTCTCCTCTTTACTACGCAGTGCCCTCTCGTATTGTTCAACAAATTGCTTCAATGTTGTTTTAGCATTGACATATCCATCAAAAAATGCATTAATACTCTCACTACGTTGTGTTGTCGACATCCCCGCCCAGAAACTCGTCTTCAGAAAGCACGGAACCCAACGATTTCTTTCACTATAGAGGCTAAACAACCACTCATTCTCGTGTAGTTCATACAAGTGAACCATATTGATCCAACCCTGCTCAAATTCTTCTGGACTTTGAGATTCATAAACCACTTCATGAATTGTCGACATGATAGCACCTTTTTGCGGATGACCACCAAATTTCTCAGGCAACTTTTTTAGTATATGCCACAAACACCATCTATGCCTCGTGTTCGGAAAAATTGTTTGGACAGCATTTTTCATTGCCCTATCTTGGTCTGTTATTATTCCGATGGGAGCATGTCCCTCCATGCACTCAAGCCATGTTTTAAAAAGCCATTCGAAAGTGTCTGTATCCTCGCTAGATATTAAGCCACATCCAAACAGCGTAGAATGACCATGGTGGTTAACACCTACGAAAGGGGCGAATGGCATATCATACTTATTTGTTAAATACGTGGTATCGAACGTCACTACATCACCGAACTCTTGATATGCTTTTCTACACCTATTATCAGCCCAAAATACGTTTTTCAACCGAAACTCCTCGTCCAAGTCAATGCTAAAGTAAAAACCCGGACAATTAGCCTGCATTTTAGAAAAGTAAGACTGAATTGCAGCTGCATCCCCTTCTCCGAGTCTCAAACGTCGAACCTTAGCAATATAATTTCGGCAGTCCTTCTCAATAAATGACATCTTTTCATACCCACCAGCCTCTACAACAGCCGAATTAAAGCTTTTATGTAAAGGAATTCCAGCTACATCATTCACCTCAAGTCGTCGTTTAATATTGGTGCTTAACTGACGATGGCAACGATATAATCTTGATTTAGAGGGACTTATAGCATGATTATGCTCGAGATGGACACCTGTAATTTTCCACGTCCCCGTAATATCCGAACAAGCTGTCAACCGAGCTTCACACCCATTTTTAATGGTGGGTTGTGGTTTGAAAGTAGCGGAAGTTGATTTCATTTTTTGTCCCTCTCGGCTACAAGTAAACATTGCATTTTTTATGACACCGTCTTCGTCTTTCCTTGAACTTCTCTTTCTAACTGGAAAACCCACACGAGCGGCATATTTTTTGTAAAATTCAAACACTTTGTCGTAATTTTGGAACTTCATTCCAACCACTGGCACAGATGTTTCATCTTCAATGGGTACTCCAATGTGCAATTCACTTTCAACAACATCCTTTGTAACTATCTCATTACCTTTCAAACACTCATTCTCCACCAACTGCTTTTTTCTTTCTTCATTATAATTGAGCCCAGAAACTTGGTTTCCTACATAACATTAGGATTATTATTAGATAAAGAAATTATAGAAAATCTGAAGGAAAAAAAAAAAAAAGAACACCATTGAATAAACTGAAAAAATCAATCAATTATCACCACTGTCAAAAGCTACACACAAAGTAATGAATGGTTTACCTGTGTCATTTGTCATCATATTTCTCCACAAGAAAAGAGTACCACGAAACGATTGGTCACCACAAAGTCGGCTGACGTTGTTTGCACCCAAAAAATCGAAATAAAAAATCAAATCTGGAAATCGGGAAAAGCACAAAAACAATTTTACCCTGCTAGGTTTTGTTTGGCTGTGGCCTGTGTTTAGTGATTACTTTTTTATTTTATACATTAAATAAGTTAAGATTTACTTTACACGTATGCAGTTGTCATTTGAGTTGTAAAACTGGATGTCCCTATAGCATTATTGTTTATTTCAATTTTTTGTTTCCTGAAAGATTTGAATTTTCTTTTTGCAGTTATGTGTTTGTGAACTTCTTTTCGTGTTTATGTGTAATAACTGACATCAGTTATCTTTCAAACTTTTTCAAATTCAAAAACGTTTCAAATTTCATTTCTTGTTTATTTTTATTTTTATGTCGGTTTATTGTGTCCTATTATGGAGCACATTTGGAATTGTGTATTGCCAGGTATTTATACGAAAATATTGGCTGAAAAAGGGGCGGTTATAAATTTTTGTCGCCGATTTGTCATGGGTGGCCCTATAAAAAAGTAAGCAGCCTATAACTTCGCTATGCAAACTCATCCACTCATCACCAGGCCTGTACGCACAAGTCTTCTCTCGCAAAAGAATAAAAACGGGTAAAAGCCGCGGGGAAAAAATGGATTTGGAAAGAAAGGCAATCAATTTAAGAAGGCAGGCGAGCAAGTTTCGGTCAGTCTCCCTCCCCGGCACATCCATCTCCGCCAAATTTGGGGCATGCGGCGAACTAATTTTGGAGGACGACGTCTCTGCCAAAAGTTCAAATCCTCAGCCCGAAGTCTTTGTCGCATATATCGGGGATTTGTTACAATCGGTGTTGTTTCCGAGATGATAGTTTCCGGTCAGCCATCGGGTCTGTGGTTCGGTCGCCGTGAGATGCACCGCCGTACTAAACTTTTGTTGCCAGTCACCATCGGGGTGCGAACCACATGCGATGGTCGATCGCGAGTCATTTCTTGTTCGAGGGCTGGTTGTCGAACTGCTCTCAGATCGTCGTCCGCTGCTCACGAGCAAAGCCCGACGATTGACGTCGCCTACAACTGACTGACTGAGTCCGCCGCCAGATTTGGTGCAGTGAGCGTCGAGGGCGCCCATTCTCTAGCAACTTTCTGATTTGGATAAAAATTTGAAAACTTGGTCTCCAGTTTGTAGCTGTTGGGTTTGATAATCGGGGCTAGCATAGAGTTTGGCCCAAGAAGAACAAGAAGTTGATATGAATTGGCCCAAGTTCACACCAGCTGACCAGGTGACCCAAGTTCACACCGGCTGACCAGGTGACCCAAGTTCACACCAGTTCACTGGCCGGTCGCGTTCAGCAGCCTAGCACCTTCTCCGGCTGTTAGCTGCGTCCAACCGTCCTTAGTTACAACCCGGACATGTTCACCACACCATCCACGCTTTTGGCCATCAGCGCACGTCCACAAAGTTGCTGCCAGCGTCTGATACATAGCTTGCAGCCATCAGCAACCCGTCGACAGCCTGTTACCAACCCTTGGTCACCTCCATCGCTGCAGGACGGTCTGTTAAAGCTTGGCGCGATTAGCATGTCATCAAGAGGAGCCGATCCAACGGCGGATTCCGTACCGAGAGAGCTTTGTGGGCGATCGAGCCATCATTTTCTAGGGTTTCGTCCAGCGGATTTTGCAAGGCTTTTGGGGAATGATAAAAATTGTGGTACTCTAAGCATTGTTATGGGTACAACGAGCCTCGATAGAAGTCGTTGTGAGTTTGAGGATAACCGCAACGGATGCGAACCTCGAACACCGTCGGGAGCACTTACACAAGCAATTTTGGAGTAAAGGACGAAGATAATTTCAGCCTCGACATACTGGGAAATCTGGCACAAGGTCGTCGATTTTCTGGTTCCTTTTTTCCAAAGCCGATGCCATAAGGAAAGGGGTACAAGAACGACACTTAGAAGTCTGGGCAGTGTCGTGAAGGTAAACGAAGTTATGGCTTAAGTAGGCCGCTCTTAGCCCAGCTCGTGATGTAGATGTTGGTTTTGAGCCTAATGTGTTAATTATCCCAGGGAAAGTAATTGATATGGCTGTTGGGTCTGGTAAGAAGGCCTAGCTAGTTAGTTGCCCCAAGGAAACAAAAGCAGTAGGAAAAAGAGAGGAAGAAGTTGTAGGGTATTAAAAGGAAAATAAGCAAAAAGTTACGGCAAGGCAAAAGGAAGATGGCAGCAATTTCATACGGTCACCCACGGGCATCATGATTCAGAGAGGCGGATTATCGTCTTTAGGGGGGACAGCCGGCGACGACGTTGGCCTCGTCCGTATTTTACCAGCTTTTAGTCGTAGCCTTCAGTAGATGGTCTGTTCATGCGAGCGAGTTCGGGTCTGTGCAGAGCATCTCCTTCAACCGTCTTCTTCAGTCCGAGCAACTACCGCGTCCAGCAGTCCAAATCTTGCGCGTAACTGCAGCACCCTGTGATCGGAAGTCAGTCAAGTAAGCAACCATGCTTGCCCAGCGCACAGCACTCTCTGGTCAGAGTTTCGACTGACGACTGACGTCCTCCAGCCCGAGTGCATGGCTTTCAGAATACGCCCAGCAGCGGCCTCATGCGCTTGTCCGAAGGTCTCACACATTGACCTTAGCTTCAGCGTATGTTTGCAAAGTTATTGCCGGCGTCTAGCACGTAGCTTGCGGACATTCCCAGCCTACTGACAGCCCCTTAAAAGCTCATCGACAGTTCTTGACAGCCGCAGCCGGCCTATTACCACCACTAACATTAATCCTCAGTTATTATCTGGATTGCACATAGACACAGTAGCCCGTCGGAAACCCATCACCAACCCGTCATCAACCCGTCGGTAACCGCAGCAACCCGTTGCCGCAGAAACCTATCGACAGTCCGTTATACCGATGGCATGAATACATGCAAGGTTAAAGAAAAGAAAAAGAAAAGAGGCCGCTTTTTTCTAAAAGAGGGGCAAAAAAGCGTCTGGTCGCGGAGATTTATTTATTTATCTAAAAATAAAAAAAATTAAGTGGACAAAAACCAAAAAAATTAAAAACATATGGACAAAAATCAAAACCACGTATTTTGAGAATACGTTTTTATTTAAAAAAAGTATTTTCAAAATACGTTTTATAGTGTAAAATGTATTCCGACAATACATTTTAAAAAAAATTAATAAATAAAACGTATTTTGGTTATACGTTTTACAAATAATTAAGAACTAAACAAATAATTAAAAACTAAAACGTATTATTCAAATATGTTTTATTTCTTAATTATTTATAAAACTTATTTTGATAATACGTTTTATATTTCAAAATTAATGAATAAAAAAATTAATATATAGTACGTGTTTTGTGTTTTGGGCTCGTTTGAGCTCGTTTGAACTCGGAATTGAATTCCGTTTTTTCCTATACGTAGCTAACGAACTCCTCTATCCAATGATGCTTGCATGGCCAAAATAATCCTTGAAATCATATTCTCCCAAAGATCTTGACCGATACATTAAACGTGTTTCGCGCGACTTTGCTTTTTGGGCCCGTTCAGACTCGTCCAAGCTCGAAATTCATTACCGCTTCTTCCTATATGTCGCCAACGAACTCATCTACACAACCATGATTGCCCGGTCAATTTTTAGGCTAAATCTATTCCTCACGGGCTAAATAATTAATAAATCACCCATTATATAAATAGATGGTCCACGGAGGATTTGTTAATAGGTGATTTTTTTATTATTTAGCCCCGTGAGGAATAGATTTAAACCGAAAATTGACCGAAAAATTATGATTGTGTAGATAGGTTCGTTGGCGACATATAAGAAGAAGCGGAAATTAATTTCGAGCTTGGACGAGTCCGAACGGGCCCGAAAAGCAAAGTCGCGCGAAACATGTTTAATGTGTAGGTCAAGAGCTTTGGGAGAATATGATTTCAAGAATAATTTGGTCATGCATGCATCAGTGAATAGAGAGGTTCGTTAACTACGTATAGGAAAAAACAGAACTCAATTTCGAACGGGCGTTGTTGTCATTCGTGGTCACGACGTCTTCTACCTCCACCAATGTTGGCAGGGGGTTGATGTCTCGCCCTCGGTGACTGTGTTTACTGGGATGAGACGTAGTTCTCCTCGGATAGAACTTAACTGAACGACGCTCCTAGTGTGACCTCTTGGCCTCCAACAGTCAGAAAACTATAGGCAATTTTCGGGTTCAGTCTATTCCTCATGGGCTAAATAATTAACAAATCACTCATTATATAAATAGATGGTACACAGAGGATTTGTTAATAGGTGATTTGTTAATTATATACCCCTGTAAGGAATAGATTTAACCCGAAAATTGACCGGGCAATCATGGTTGTGTAGACGGGTTCGTTGGCGACATATAGGAAAAAACGAAACTCAATTTCGAGCTTAGATGAGTCCGAACGGGCATTGTTGTCGTTTGCGGTCACGGCGTTTTCTACCTCCACCAATGTCGGCAGTTGATGCCTCGCCCTGTGTGATTGTGTACTCTGGGATGGGACGTAGTCCTCCTCGGATAGAACTTGACTGAACGACGCCCCTTGTGTGACCTCTTGGCCTCCAACAGTCAAAGAACTATAGGCAATGTTGGAGGACTGTTGGTAAGATAACTATAGACAATGTTGTAGGACTGTTGGAATGCGGCCTGCGCCCGTGGAGGGAGTGTAGGAAATATGTCTTGAATATTCACTAATGAGTTATAAACCCCCTTCAGGGTTTGAGTCTGAAAATAAAATTCAAAGTAATTAGTATGAAACACCAAAAAAGATAAAAAGAAATAATAAAAAACTACAAATTATGAATACTTACATCGCACTTCCGCTCGGCAAATGTCTGATAGTCGCCGTCCTGTTGGACCACCGTGTACTTGGTAGGGTCACTGATAAGTCTTACAGTCCTAGTGAAAAACCAATCAATGTAACCCTACTCAGCCTGTAGAAAGTGATCCATAGGGCA